AGAATCAGCCATGGCAAAAAGCTAGAGAGAGTCTAGGGTCTGAGGTCAAACCCAAGTACTGACACGTACGCACACACACATACACACACGAAGAAACAAAAACTGAAAAAAGTGCACGCACAGTTGTGTCACAATATGTAAATTGTCTTGGGAGGTAAGAAGACATGAGTGACAGGCAGCAGGGGGAACATCCAGAGTGCTAGAGAAAGACTTTTAAGTACAGATGTTTGGGATTTAGGACTGAGTACAAATACTACATATGGAAACATCAGCAAAATTAAAAAGAATCAGACTGATTCAAAATCTCCTCTCTCCCCAATGTGGTCTTCCGGTGCCCACAGCCTCAGGGAAAGGCTCTCAGAACCACGAGGCTCAGGACTCCAACACCACACCTCCTCTTCCTCACCCTCACGGTCACTGGTTCCCACTAAATTTCCCTCCCTGTGTGTTCTCTCTCCTTCTCTGTCACCTTGTCCAGGCTGCTTCCTCACATACAATAGCAGCGGCTCCAGGTACCTTACTGTGGTTGCTTGGTCTCTTCTAGCCACTGCAAACAACATTCTTTTCTGCTTTTTCTTTTGTGCTGGTCATTGTTTATTAATGAGGCTACTGTACCAGCTCATCTCATCTGTTCTTTGAGACTGCACAGGAAGCTGGGGACACGCACCTCAGTGGCTAGGTTATTTATTGGACCAGGTGGGTAACTCGACTGGGATGGGTCAATCAGATTTCTCCTGAGCATCACAACTTGGACACAGGGTGTTCTGCATGTCCCATGGGGCCTCTGAAAGATGCGGTGTGGCAGTAAGGCCATCATGGAGAAAGTTTCTGGGCACCTAAGGCTGTAAGGCAGTGGGCAGAGAAAGAGGCTTATGTTGCCCACGAACTGCTGGAGAGAAGCCAGATAGCTTCTGGGATCCTTGCCCAGTCCAGGGTTTGAACTTAACTTTTCTGTCCTTGGCAGACATGGTCTGTGTTTCCCTTGTAACCTACTTTGCTCTTGATTATTTCCTGAGCCTTCAAGTCCTTAGTCTCTCGGGATTTGTTTCTTCCTCTCACTTTGCATGACTGTTGTGAAGTCAGAGTCTGACACTAAGGTACATTAAAAATAATACATATGTATTTCCAGATTACATCAAAGCTAGTTTGAGGAAATGGCACAGTGGCGTGATCAGGGGATCCGGAAGCCTCCATGAGAGCCACAGGCTCTTCAAGGTTCCTACCTTTTTGCTGCCTGTTGTGTTTAAAATCCTACTCCTACCTTCATCCTCAAACCCCTCCAATAACATCTTATTTGGAACTAGGGAGGTTTGCCCAATGCTATGCTCTACCACTTGAGCCACAGGTCCACTTCTGGCTGTTTTTTTTTTTTTTTTTGGTAGTTCAGAGTGTCTCAGAGCCCTGGAAGAAAGTAGCTTTGCCAATTCAATGATCTCAGGTTTCCTTCAGAATGTTAGACAGGAAAGTTACCCGTGCCAAGAACTGGTGGCTCAGGCCTGTAATCCTAGCTACTTAGGAGGCTGAGATCTGAGGATCATGGCTCAAAGCCAGCCTGGGCAGGAAAGACCGTGAGACTCCTATCTCCAATAAAACCACTAGAAAACCGGAAGTGGCGCTGTAGCTCAAGAGGTAGAGTGTTCACCTTAAACTGAAGAGCTGAGGGACAGCGCTCAGGCCCAGAGTTCAAACCCCATGACTGACAAAAAAAAAAAAAAAGAAAAAGAAAGTTACCCATGTAAGTGGTAGTTTGTTACGGCTACTACAGCAGCCTCAATGTATTGTTTTCCAATTACAAATGACTGAATCAGTACACCTGATTGAACATTAAACTATCTGAGGAAGCTATTTCAAAATACTACCCTGCACTAATGAAATCAGAATTTCTGCCAGGTGCTGGTGGTTCCCTACTGTAATCCCAGCTGCTGGTACTGGTCTACCAAGTGTGAGGCTTTCTGTTCCAACACCAGCATGATGAACACAAAACACAAAAGCCAACAACAAACAGCCCCCTACCCTCAATGGATGGAATAGTTCCTTCTTTATCTGTTAGTTCTTAGTTTTATTAGGTTTCCATTGGTCCCTTTTCCTTAGGCCCACACATTTCTTCCACTCTGCTGTGATTCTCTTAGTTAATGGTTCTTTCATCAGCTGTTGGCTCTGAGATCACACGGAATCTGGCCCATGTGTTCACTGCATTGCCAAAGCCTCGTGCTCAGACACCTCATGAACACCTGCTGACTAAATGTTTTAACCAAGTCCCTCAACAACTCAGAGTCTCAGTTTGCATGTAATATGGGGACTCACATCACCTTTTTTGCAGGATTACTGTGAAGGTGACTCAAAGGCAGCATTTACTCATGTCAGAGGTTTGTGGCTCCTGCCTGCAATCCTAACTACTTAGGAGGCTGAGATCTGAGGATCATGGTTCAAAGCCAGTCTGGGCAGAACAATTCCCAAGAGACTCATCTCCAATTAACCACTCAAAAACTGGAAGTGGGGGCTGGGAAGGTGGCTCAATGGTAGAGCACTTGCCTTGCATGCATGAGGCCCTGGGTTCAAGTCCTCAGCACCGCTTAAGCAGAAAAAGCCATAAGTGGCTCTGTGGCTCAAGAGGTACAGCACTAGCCTTGAGCTGAAGAGCTGAGGGACAGTGTGCAGGCCCAGAGTTCAGACCCCACAATTGACCAAAAATCAAACACACACACACACACACACACACACACACACACACACAAAACTGGAAGTAGTGCTATGGCTCAAGTGGTAGAATGCTAGCCTCAAACACAAAAAAGCTCAGGGACAGCAACCAGACCCTTATGAGGTTCAAGCCCCACAACTGAAGGAAAAAAAAACCAGTACCAATACACATACAGCAGTGAAGAGTGTCTGCCACCAAGTAACTGCTCAATAAAGTCAGTTATTACTCTCTTCCCATTGTTTTCAATGGTTATACATTCTCAGGAGATACAGCCATCTCTTTAAGGTTGGCTGGAAGTTATTATTAGTGATTTTACTAAACCATACCCTATTTCTAAAAGATCCAATAATCTAGTTCCAAGTTTCTTTTTTAACCCCATCTATTAGGACTTTCCTATTCCAATAGCATTGTAGATCTGACCTTGTCTCCTCTGCCAGGCTCCAAGTCTTCTGTAGCTCCATTCCTGCCTTTAGTCCTGTGTAGCAAGTGGCTGCTTGTCTCCCAAGCTAGCTGGGCATCACCAGCACCAGGGAGGAACTGTGGGATTTAGCTGACCACCCATCTGGTTCAAGAATCCCTGAAATCTCATCCTCAAAGTATGTAAAGGTTGATTGGTAGGGAGAAGTCTGGTATTCTACTTTTAGGCATCATTTTTTTTTGTTGTTGGTCATGGGGGCTGAACTCTGGGCCTTGGCGCTGTCCCTCAGCTCTTCAGCTCAAGGCGAGCACTCTACCACTTGAGCCACAGTGCCACTTCTGGCTTTTTCTGCTTATGTGATGTTGAGGAATTGAACCCAGGGCCTCATGCATGCAAGCCACTAAGCCACCTTCCCAGCCCCTTCTTTTTCTTTTGCTTAAGGCTAGCACTCTAACACTAGAGCTACAGCACCATTTCTAGCTTTTGATGAAATTAATTGGAGATAAGTGTCTCATGGACTTACCTGCTAGGGCTGGCTTTGAGCTGGGAACCTTCCATCTCAGCTTCCTGAGTGGCTAAGATAGCCACCGGGCCAGCACCTGACTTAGGCATCAGTTTCTAAAAGGCATCTATGTACTTAGCTACACAGTGAGCCTAGGGCAGGGATCTCATGCTGCGTGCGTGCGTGCGTGCGTGCGTGTGTGTGTGTGTGTGTGCGTGTGTGTGTGTGTGTGTGTTGGTAATGGGGCTTGAAACTCTGGGCCTGAAGATCTCACTTGGTTTTCTGCTCAAGATAGGTGCTCTTCCACTTGAGCCACAACTCCACTTTTGGCTTCATGATGCTTAATTGAAGATGAGAATCTTGTAAGGGCCCGGAAACCTAGCTGTTAGACCCAAAAGGATGGGGAATTTGGAATTCCTCCTCCCACCATGAACTCTCAGAATGCTGAGAGATTCCAGGAAAGGTCAATCAGTCCTGGCTTTACAGGAATTAAAATTTCTAACCTGGGTGTGGGCTAATTCAACCCCAAACTTTCCCAGAGCTTGGGGATAGACAAAAGCAAGTGGTTTTCTGCTTACCTCTACTTCCTAAGATACAAACGTCATATATCACTTGAATAAGATTGTATGACATGTTGGTGCATGTGACTTCAAGAATCTTGATACCTCACTTTCTGCAAGTATGTCCTTATACCCAACTCAATAAATATCTTGTAAAATGGACCCAGGAAACCTGAAGTTGGTGGAAGGCTTCAGGCCCCTCAATTCTATGGCCCAGTCTGCATTACTGCCTTGTCCCCGGTGGAGGGTTACAACAGAATCCCATGGAGTTTTTTGCCCAGGTTGATTTTGAATCACTATTCTTCAATCTCAGCCTCCTGAGTATCTAGGATTACAGGCAAGAGCTACTGGTGTCCAGCTAACCATCTCACATTAGTACAGAAAGACAGAGAGGCAGAGGAGCTTCAACTGTGTCCCTTATCAGATTCTCTGGTACCCAGAGAATCTCTCCCCTCCACCCCAACCCCTTGTATTAGTGTAAGGAGCTATCAGAGAAGTCATTCCAGCACCTCCCACCCTAGAGCTAAGACTTTCCCAAGAGCTATTCTCTTGCCAGCCAGACAACTCCTTAGCTGAATAGGAAGAAACTGACATGAGTTGAAAAACCTCTCTGGAGGCCTGACAGGGTCTGGATGTGCCTAGCATATCCACAAGTCCTGACCGTGACATCACTCTTCTTTTCTGAGTGTACCAAGCAGAGTGGGACAGGGGCTTTGTGGCTCTCAGTCAAGGCTGCACATTAGAACCCGAGAAACTTGTCAAGATGGCTGGTGCCCATGCCCTAGCTTAGACCTATGACATGGGCATCTCTGAGGTCAGTACCAAGCAGCAGCTTGGTCTGCTTGTAAGCTATGCACGTGATTATGACAGGCAGAAGGCTACTCTTTGGCTTTTTCTGGTTCTCAGGGAATAGCTTCTCAAAAAGTATGCACATGGCTTCCACCTTCTGTTCTCAGAACACTTACCATTGTGTCACAGAGTATCATTTATATCTTACTTGCAGTTTTATCTCAATCAGCCTCTAAAGACTTTCTCACCAAGCTTAGGGCAGAAGACGAGGCTGCCTCTCTCTCTTTCTCACTTTGTCTTTTTGTGCTGGTACTAGGGCTTGAACTCAGGGCCAGTCCCTTAGCTTAGGTCTCTTGGCTTTTTTTTCTGCTCAAGGCTAGTGTTCTAATACTTGAGCCACAGCTTCACTTCTAGCTTTTCAGTGGTTAATTGGAGATAACAATCTCAAGGACTTTCTTGCCTGGGCTGTCTTTGAACCCTGGTTCTCAGATTACAGTCTCCGTAGTAGCTGGGATGATAGGTATGAACCACTCACGTCAGGCTAACTGCCAACATTTTTTGCTGGTTAAACTGGAGATAAGAGTCTAGGCTTTGAACCCTGGGATCCTCAGATCTCAGCCTTCTGAGTAGCTAGGATTACAGATGTAAGGCGCCGGCACCAGACAACAAGGCTGTTTGCTTTGAAGTTTTTCACTGACTGTGCACTGGGCAGCATAGCAGGAGCTGGGAGTATACAGCAGGTTCCTGTCACAAAAGACTGGGGAGTAGCCCCAGGGGAAGGCAGACCCCTTGCAGATAACTGAACATCAGGAACCCCAAGCACTGAGAAAAGTGGGGGCTCCTTTGGGCTCAAGAACTTCCTGAAGAGGAAAACTAAGGTAAAGTAGGACATGGTTAGGTAAGCAGGAACAGAAAGGTCTGAACTACCAGAATCACGTGGAGTCCATCTGCTAGGAGAAAGATGATCATTTTCTAGTTAAACAGGACCTTACGGTCCACTGTACCACTCTCCATTTGCCTGTAGGGCTGGCTAGTACCTACTGAGTCCAACAAATTAGTTTTGCACCAGGTCCCCAGGCCTTGCCCTCTGCCAGCTATGGTCTATGGTTTCTCTCCTGGAGTTAGCATGCTGCAGTTTGAGCAGCCCCCTAGAATGTGCCTCACAAGGGGAAAGGTCAGCATGTTTCCTTAACTGGCTGGACACTCGGACAAGGAATGTCCTGTGCTCCCTTTTTGACTCAGTCATTTCTTCTCTGCCCATAGGACTGACTGGGGCCTACTGAACCTAGCAAATAAGTTACAGGAGAGTCATTTTCCAACTGTGAGTTTACCAATCCTTTCTCTTCTACTTCTCTGTCCCTCTGGGCCCTCCCCCGACCCAATCCCTGGTCCTGGAGCTTGAACTCAAGGCCTGGATGCTGTCCCTGAGCTTCTCTATGCTCAAAGCTAGTGCTCTACCCCTTGAGCCACCCAGGTGGCTGAGATCTGAGATTCATGGTCTCTAAGACAGCAGGCTGGAAACTCCATGAGATTCTTATCTCTAATCAAAACTATCCAAAAGCTGGAAGTAGAGCTCAATTGGCAATATGTAGCCTTAGGCAAAAAAGCTAAGAAACAGCACCTAGAATTCAAGCCCCAGGCATAAAACAAAAGGAAACTAGCCGATTATCCATTTCTCAGGCTGTACGGTCACCTTCAGCATCATGTGACCATACATTCCTACCTCTCTCATGTTCCAGGGAAATCCTGGGTGCAGAGAAGCTGAGTGTTCAGGCTGTGAAAGGTTGTGCTAGTGGCCACATTGGTTGCCAGCCAAGCACCAGCTGTGTTCCCAGAGAATGTTTGCTGGGTCCACACCCTTTATTCTTGCTTATCCAGACCCTGCCAGACTCAAGACAAATATTTCACCTGCTTTTTGAGTACTTTTTGTGTAACTGTACTTCTCTTCTCCATTCTGTCTTGTTCTATACCCAGGATGTGTAATGTAGGTACTGGGTTTTCCTGACTCAACCTCCTTTTCTCTATAAAGCCCCTTTGGACTTGCCAGGTAGGGAAGATTCACATGGTTTTGGGCAGGACTTAATTTCAGTCCAGGTCAACAATGCTTACAGCAGAGTTATCTGTAACATGCATGCTAGCTTTGCTAAGTAAGAGCTTTACTACTTGAGCTATATTCTCAGTTGATATATGAAAATGTTTTAAACATTTTAAACATTCTACAAGTTTTGTAGAATACTCCAGACTCAGACCCAGACTCAGCCCCATTCCACTGTTCTCCTTGGGATGATACCAAGGTGAGTGACTCAATGTGGCTGACTCCTCTATCCCTGATTCCACCCTGTTAAAGGATGTTCAAACATGTGCATGCATGGGTATGTGTGTTAATATATACACATGTATGACTGGGATGTGTATATATGCGTGCTTGTGCATGTGCATATGCATGCATGGCTTAGTTGTGATGTGTGTATGTCTATGCATCTGTATATACATGTGTACATGTATAAGTGGTATATATATGTTCATACACATATGCACGCATGAGTGGTATGTGTATGTGTATATCTGCACACATGTATGCATTCATGTGACTGTGTGCTATATATATGTGTGTATACATGTTTGCATGCATGTATGAGTGTGTGCTGTGTGTATGTATGTGTGTTTTGGAGAAATGAACTGCTTTTCAGAAACTGGCATTGGAACAAAGGAAGAATGTTAGCTGCATCTGTTCCCAAGCCCCAGTCCTGGATCACAGGCTTCTTCTGAGAGAGACAGCACTGAGACTCAGTTCTCATAGCTACTTTGCAGTGTGCAGAGCTGCTGACTTGCTGATTCCCGGCAGCTTTGGAAGGGCAAACCTTTCAGTCCCGGTCTTAGTCAGCTGGGCTGTGGCATACACTGGAGACAGAATGGGGGTGGGGAGGGTGTCATGCAAAAAGTATTTTTTCTCATTATTCAGGAGGCCAGAAAGTACAAGATGTAGAAGCCTGTAGATTTGGTTCTTGACAAGATAAGGCCTCTCTACCTAGTTTGCAGACTGTCATCTTGCTATGTTCACACATGACAAGGAAAAGGCAATTTTTAGTCTTCATCCTTTATCTAGTTCCCTCACCTAACCCCCCCCCCCCGTCCCCCCCCCCCCCACACACACAACTGGGAAGTGAACTAAGGGCTTCATGTTTTCCAAGCAGGTGTCTACTATTTGAAACATGTTCCCAGTCATTTTGTTTTTATTTTTATTTTATTTATTTTCTAGATAGGCTATCAGGCTAATTTTGCCCAACTAGTATCTTCCTTCCTCCACTTCCCAAGTAGCAGGGATTACAGGTATGTCTCCGAACACCTTTTCTTTAAGGATACTCATCTTTTTATTTTTTTTGACTGGGGCTTGAAATCAGGGCCTAGGTGCTGTCCCTTAGCCTTTTCACTCAAGGCTGGTGCTATATCACTTGAGCCGCAGCCCTACTTTCAGTTTTTCTGTAGTTAATTGGAGCTAAGAGCCTCATGGACCTTCGTGCCTGCTGGCTTTGAACTGTGATCCTCAGATCTCATCTTCTTGAGTAGCTGGAACTGCAGACATGTAAGCGAGGCCACCAGAGCCTAACTTAAGGACTCTATTCTTATCCTGGAACTCCTACCTCAGGATCCTCTCTAAATGTAATCACTCTCAAAAGTCCCGACCTCCAAATTATATATCACACTGGAGAGTATCACTTCAAATTATGAATTTTGTGGGGACCCAAAATTTAGATACAATCTTCTCTCTTTTGTTTCTGGACTCCCAAAATTCAAATCCTCTTGCATGGAAAATACATATTCCACCCCAAATAGTCCCCAAAGTCTTCACACATTCTAGCATTAACTCTTACGTCTACAGTCTCATTTTTAAATCATCTAAGCCAGATATAGGTGAGATGCCATGTTCAGTTCATCCTGAGGCAAATTATTCTCCAGCTATGAACTTGTCAAACTCCAAAAGATATGTTTCCAAAATACAATGGTGGGATAGGCATGGGATAAAGACTTCTTCCAAAAGTGAAAAGCTGAAGGAAGAAAATGATGGTAGGTTCCAAGCAAGTCCAAAACCTAGTAAGAGGATAGCCAGTAAACAGAATACTCAGGCAGAGAAGTTAGAGACTCTTATCTCCAATTAACAACCAGATGTGGCTCAAAGTAGTAGAGCACTGCCCTTGAACTGAAGAGCTCAGGGACATAACCCAGGCCCAGCGTTCAAGCCCATGACCGACAAAAAACAAACAAACAACAACAAAAAAAAACCCTACAGGATAATCTTTGGTTGTGTGTCCCTTGATGGTCTGCTGGGTGACTCTACCTCCTGGGGCTCTAGGTAGCTACAGTCACTGAAACTACATCCCCTCCCCTTTGGATACAGGACCATCCCTGGTAACTCTGAAGGACTTCTAGTTATTCATCTCTTGTAGAATTGTGCATGTTTACAGCTGAATAGCTCTATGGTTCAGATTCAAAGCATCTAAGGTGTTCATATTCCTCCTTCATCTTGTTCTCTCTGCCTTTCAGTTCAAACTACGAGTGTTTCATCTGGGGTAGCTGATTGGTGCCTAGGCTCATATCTGCATTAATATTCTCTTTTTTGCGGGGAGGGGGAAGAGTCCGGTCGTGGGACCTGAACTCTGGGCCTGGGGGCTGTCCCTCAGCTCTTCACTCAAGGCTAGCGCTCTACCACTTGAGCCACAGCACCACCTCCGGCTTTTTGCTTATGTGGTGCTGAGGAATCGAACCCAGGGCCTCAGGCATGCAAGGCAAGTGCTCAACCACTGAGCCACCTTGGCAGCCCCCTGCATTAATATTCTCAAATGGCCGTTCACCCCAACCTTATTCTTTTCCAAACATGCTCTTCTATTTTCTTGGGAAAAAAAAAAAAAAGATTTGCTTCCTTATTCTTTAATTCATTGCCTCCCTTCCCCAAATTCTGCTATACTCATATGAGAGGAACCAAACCTTTCTTTCAACACTTTGCATAAATTTCTCAGCTACTCTGGATGCTTGTGGTTCATGTCTATATCCTAGCTATTTAGAAAGCTGAGAACTGAGGATTGTGATTCAAAGCCAGTCAGTCTAGGCAGAAAAGTCCACCAGACTCTCCTCTTGAATTAACCATCAAAAAGCCAGAAATGGAGCTGTGGCTCAAATGGTAAAGACCAGCTTTGAGCAAAAAAGATCAGGGACAGTACCTAGGCCCTGAGTTCAAGCCTTAGCATTGGCATTAAAAAAAAAAAAAAAAAAAGCCAGCCTAAGTATACAAATCTTAGAGGTGTTTATCTTCAGTTAGGAAAAAGCTAGAAGAAGAGGTATGGTTCAAGTGGTAAAGTGTCAGCCTTGTGTAGAAAAGCTAACCAACAGCATAAGGATGTGACATTCACCCCTCCCGTACTGCCACACACACAATTTTTTTTTTAAGGCAAATATCTAATACTTTTCACAAAACACTAGAATAAAGTTAATTTTTGACATTTTATAAGCATCCTCCCTTCTCCATTATCCAATACTACACTTCTGCTTTCTCTGTGGGACCTCAGCAAAACTGACCTTAGCACTTATACTTTTAGCAGGCACCTTAAAAATCCTCCAGGCTCTACACAGTTCCACAACCACTTCCACAGTTTTACCTATTTATTACAATCTCACTAACTCCTTCCTGCTAATTTTTGTCTTAGCTTGGGCAGCGCTCACAAAATCCACAAAACAACATCTCCACATCTCTCCTTTGGACTGAGGAAGCAGTGCAGATGATCTTGAGTCACATTTGTCTATTCCTCCCCCTTGAAGACACCTACAGAACCAACATTCATTTCCTCACTGTTCAAGATGCTGGGAGGGACCTCTGCCTAAGTTGTTAAACTGTGACTGCTTGATTCTCTCTTATCTAAAGTGAATTGTCTTACAAAAGCCCATCTTCCAGTAATATCACCAGAGGTTATGAGATTTGGATGGACACAAACCTTTAGTCCATAACATCCTCATTTAGAGAGGAAAGTCTCCAAGTGTAGGATGTTTGAGGAATACTTTTAACACAGACTTTTCTGAACTAAAGCTATCTCCCTCATCCCCCAAATCAAACTCAGGGCCTGTGCTTGGTAGACAAAAATTCTGCTACAGAGTTATCAACTTGGTCATAGACTGAAGAGTGTGTGTGTGTGTGCCTGTACTGGGACTTGAACCCAGGGCCTGGCTCTTGCTTGGCTCGTTGCTGGCACAGCTCCACTGTGGCTTTTCCAAGTTATTGGAGACAAGAGTCTTGAATTTGCCTGCAGGGGATGAATTTGAACAAGGATCTCAGGCTTCAGAATGGCTAGAATTACACAGGTATGAGGCCCCAGTGTGAACTAGAGGAAGCTCTTGATAGGTGCCCTGGAGGGAGAGCCTGGAGGTCGGCCAACAACAGCTTTGGGTCTAGCCTAAGGCACAGGTCTCATTCAAGCAGAAGCACAGTTCACACTTTGCAGGTTAGCATTTGGGCAAAGCCAGAGCCTCGGAGCTGGTCGGGGGCTTGCCCTGCCGCGTATGCACAGCTGCTCCGCAGACCACGGACGGCGGTGAACTTTGGCCTGCTCTCCAGGTTTTGCACCGGCTCTCGGGTCTCCACACCCAGTGTTCCCTGTCTAACTCCCCCGCCACGCCCATCTAGTGAGTCCTTTGGCCTCAGTCTGGGACTGCGGAAGCCGTCCGGGTGATCTGGAGCCTCTCCCGGCGAGGGGTGTGCGCTGAGCCCCCAGCGCTCCGAGCGCGCGGCGCGCGTCTCCCATCACGGCTAGGCGCTCCGCTCCGCGCAGGGCAGCGGGCGGCCTGGTCCCACCCGGGACAAACACGCGATGGCCGTCTCAGGCCTCAGGAGCGGAGGCCCTACATCTACCCAAACCTCCAGAACCTCCTTTTTCGCTGGACCCGGCTGCTGTGGGTTCCTCGGAACGGCCAGGGAGATCCGGAGCAGCCTCCGGTGCCCCGGAAGCGCCGTGGCAGGGCCGGGTGCGCGCGCCCAGGGGGCTGCCGTCCGCTTGCTCCAGAAAAGGGAAACAACGCGTTGCGGGGAGGCTCCTCGCCGGCTTCCCATCCGGTGGCTGCTCCCAGGCGAAGCCGGCGCCCCGAAGTGGCCAGGGGCGCGGGGCCGACGACGCCCTCGCTCCGCCCGGCCGCACCCGCCGCGCCGGCGCCGGGAACCGCGCCGCCCCGAGCCCCGCGAGGATTTCCGAGCCGCCCGGAGCCCAAGAGACGAGCCGGGGAGAGCCAGGGCCCCGCGCCCCCGCCCGCCCCGCCCGCCCCGCCCTGGCTTACTTTGAAGACCGCGGGCTGCGGCCACGCAGAGGGCTAGGAGCCCCAGGAAGACGCCGCGGCTCGTTCTCCGCCGCGCCCGGCGCGCCCGGGGCCTCATGGGCGCGGGGCGGCTGGGCCGGGCGGGGCTCCCCGGGCCGCCGCCCCCCAGGCTCCCGCCGCGCCGGCCCCGCGCTCCGACTCCGGCCCCGGCCCCTGCTCCGGCTCGGGCTCGGCCTCGGGCTCGGGCTCCGGCTCCGGCTCCGGCTCCGGCTCGGGCTCCGGCTCCGCCCCGGGCCGTCCTGCAGGCCACAGGCAGAGGAGCAGCACCTTGGGGTGGAACAACTGGCTCCCTAGAGAGCGCGAGGGAGGGAAACCGAGGAAGGGTGGGAGGAGGGAGGAAGGAGGACGGGCCGGGAGGGGAGGGGAGGAACGAGAGCGCACACACTCCGAGCGAACACCGGCAAACCGCGAGCCTCTCCGGGGCCACCCGACCTGACTGGCCTCGATCGATCGAGCGCTCACTCCACTACCCGAGCGCGGGCGGGGACGGGCTGGGGCGGGCGGGGAAGCGCGCGGACAGCGTGGGATGATCGGAGTGGCCTGCTCCGAGGCGACGCGGGCACTGCAATGCCACCCACCCGCACCCACTCAGTACCCACCCCGCACCCACTCAGTACCCACCCCGCATCCACCCTCATCCACTCAGTACCCACGCTGCACCCAACCGCACCCACCCAGCACCCACTCAGCACTCACCCTGCACCCACCCCGCATCCACCCCGCACCCACCCAGCACCCACTCAACACCCACCCCGTACCCACCCGCACCCACTCAGTACCCACCCCGCATCCACTCAGCACCCACACCGTACCCACCCTCATCCACTCAGTACCCACGCTGCACCCAACCGCACCCACCCAGCACCCACTCAGCACTCACCCTGCACCCACCCCGCATCCACCCCGCACCCACCCAGCACCCACTCAACACCCACCCCGTACCCACCCGCACCCACTCAGTACCCACCCCGCATCCACTCAGCACCCACACCGTACCCACCCTCATCCACTCAGTACCCACGCTGCACCCAACCGCACCCACCCAGCACCCACTCAGCACTCACCTTGCACCCACCCCGCATCCACCCCGCACCCACCCAGCACCCACTCAACACCCACCCCGTACCCACCCCGCATCCACCCCGCACCCACCCCGTACCCACCCGCATCCACTCAGTACCCACCCCGCATCCACTCAGCACCCACCCGCATCCACTCTGCACCCACCCCGTACCCACCCACATCCACCCCGCATCCACCCCGCACTCACCCAGGAAGTGTGTGCTGAGCGCTGCCCACGTCCGCAGGGCCCCCGCACATGTGGCCTTCTACTCACGCAGAAGACCTCCGTGGAACGAAGTTGGGCACTGGGCACGGAGACACTACCGAGGCAGGATAGCCTAGGGAAAATGAGGCATGGTAAATGGCTGCCGGGAACTCGGGATTCAAGGCCAGAGCCTGTCCATACACTTTCCTTAAGATTAAGAGAACAAACTCATTTTAGGGGAAATGAAGCCGGATAGACTAGGGGAAAACGAGGTACGGTCAGCTCACAGCAAAGACAGTAGATATTCCTTCATATACTTCCCTTAAGATGAAAGGACCAAAAGGACCAAAGGGGGAATGAGCTCCACCTCCAGCATTGTCCCCCAGCTCTTCAGCTAGCGCTCTAGCACTTGAGCCGCAGCACCACTTCCCATTTTCTGATGGTTAATTGGAGATAAGCGTCTCACCGACTCTCCTGCCTAGGCTGGCTTTGAACCATGATCCTCTGATCTCAGCCTCCTGAGTAGCTAGGATTATAGGCTTGAGCTCCGGGCTCCGGGCTCACTTCCGGTTTTTTGTTCATTGGAGATAAGAGTTCCATAGACTTTCCTGCCCCAGCTGGTTTCAAACTTTGCTCCTCAGATACCAGACTCCTGAGCAGCCAGGATTACAGGCATGAGCCATCAGTGCTTGGCTTTCTCTAAGGCTGGCACTACCCCTGTCTTGAAGGCATTCCTTCTTTACTTGCTCCACGAAGTTACACTGGTGAGAACAAATCTGTCATGCTAAGTGAGATGTGGGGTCCTAGGAGATCATGGGACTGCATACACTTTCCTATATCTTTCTGGTTTCTAACAGTAGTGGCATTCTGCTGACTACCTTGGGATAAGAGCATGACCCAGGCCCATCCTCTACTTCAGCTCTTGTGTGGCTTAGGGATGGGGAAATGAGGCTATCCCAGCACTGGCCTACTGTGCCCAGCCATGTCACAGCAGGGACCATCTTACATTTATTATCGCGACATCTCAGTGTTGTGAGTTTAAGACTTCATTACAAGTACTTTGAAGTACATATTTAAGTGAGTTAATTTGATAACACGTTTTTCAGTGAGTTGATGGTGAATACTTGCTTATCCTCAAGTCCCAGAAGGGGAATTCTGTGCCCTTCCCTAGCTTTGTAAACAACTCACAGCAACTTCAGGGGGCCAAAGATGTCAAAGGCTCCGCGTGGGTCGGGCGCCAACCCTCCTCAATTCTGATTGGACCCTAAAGCGCCCAGTTAAAAATAACTGTTTGGGAATATTCTTAGAACTACAGACCTGTCTGTATCTGCGTGGCCAATCCAGGAGAGGCCCTTCCATCCAGGGGGAGACTGGAATGAGAGGAAAACTGGCTGACATTGTACACAGCAGCAAAGCTCTGCCTCAAAGAGGCATGGATGGAGTGGAGGCAGGCGTTGCCATTGGTGACATCTGGTGGCAGAAATCACAAAGGACTTGGTCCTTTGATCCTTTGGCTGGTTCCGGATCCATACATAGTAGAAGCATAGCAGGGTCCCAGCACAATACCTGCCCCCCCCCCCCACACCCCCAGAGGCTCAGGAAGGGAGAAGTAATGGGCACTGAAGGTAGGTTCTTGGACTGGGTAAGTCTTGATTTTTGACTAATCTGTGCCTGGGCTGACGTCATAGCTGTAAGGATTGTCATACTCGGGGGTCTCATGTGCCTGAGTTAATGCTTTGCCTTTGCCACCTTGAAATTCTAAATCGCTTTTGAACAAAAGGCCCTTAACTTTCCTTTTGTACTGGGCTTCACAAATCATGTCTTGATCATCCTAACAGGTCACTTTCATCCCTGCAAATGAAGCACTTTTGTTCCTCTTTTATTTCCCAACTCAGCTAAAAATGTATATTTCCTCTTCTGTATTTAAGTCTTCAAGGTGGCTGGAGAGGATACACAGAAAAGGAACCTTTTATACTGCTGGTGGGAATGTAAATTAACACAGCCACTATAGAAATCAGTATGGAGGTTCCTCAGAAGACTAAAAATAGAGCTACCATGTGATTCTGCCATACCACTCCACGGCATGTGTCTGAAAGAGTAGAAGCATGCAATAGATAAGAGATACCTCAACTGAATGCCCATATGTATAGCAGTACCACTCATAACAGTCAAACTGAGTATCCATCATCTCATGAATAGTTGATGTATGCCACAAAGAAAGACCTAGCCACAAAGAAAGATGAAATTATGTCATTTGCAGGTATATGGCTGGAACTGGAGATAATCATTTTAAATGGAGCCAGACTGAGAAAATGATTGCACTGTCTCTTTCACATGCAGGATCTACACCTAAAACAAACAAACCCAAAAGTTTAAAATAAAGAAAAAAAAAAAAAACAAGGAGAAGGGAGAGGGTGAAGTGAGGGGTGGATATGATTGAAGTGCTTCATATGCAAGTATGACAATAAAATAATGAAACTCAGTAAAATTGTTTTAAAAAGGGGCAGATGATAAGGTAGTAATAAAAGAGATGAATTTGATTAAAGTATGTTATATGTATGTATGGGAATACCACAGTGAAAACCATCCGTGTAATTAATGTATGCCAAAAAAAGAGGGAAATTGAAAAAAACTCAAGCCATCTGCCACTCATCAACCTGGTTCTCCAGGAGAAATAATTCTAGTCCTGAGGATCATTCCTTTAAATGGTATATCTTCTGCTTCTCTTCATTTCCAGAGCCCACACTCAGCTTAGGCTTCCTTGTGTGAGCTTCAGGGACCAGCCCATGACTTACCGTGGGAACTTGTTAGAAATGCCAAACTTTAGGCCTTACTCTCCATTTGCATTTGGTTAAAATGCTTTGAGGTTAAGCTGGGTGCTCAGGCCTGTGATCCTACTTAGGAGGCTGAGATCTGAGGATTACAGTTCAAAGCCAGCCCAGGCAGGAAAGTCCATGAGACTTTTATCTCCAATTAAATGGAGATAAATGGAGCTGTAGCTCCAGTGGTAGAGTGCTAGACTTGAAGAAAAAAACAAAAAGAAAAAAAAATGCTCAGACTGTGTCCAAGCCCTGAGTTCAAGCAAGCCCTAGACTAGCAATAAATAAATAAATATGCTTTAAAGTTGATAGAAAGTCAATTGCAGAATGTGTTGTATCTTTACGGAGAGTTTTATATCATTCATTAGCATTAGCTTTTTTAAATTGTTTTTGGTATGTGTATGTGCTGGTTTCAGGGCTTGATTTTTTTTTTTTGGTTGTGGGACTTGAACTCAGGACCTAGGCTCAGAGCCCAGGCTCTGTCCCTAAGCTTTTCTGTTCAAGGCTAGTACTCTACCACTTTTTTTTTTTGGCCAGTCCTGGGGCTTGAACTCAGGGCCTGAGCACTGTCCCAGAGTTTCTTTCTTTTTCTTTTTTTAAAAATTTTTTGGGGGTTCAGTTTGGGGGCCTGAACTCCGGGCCTGGGTGCTGTCCCTCAGCTCTTCAGCTCAAGGCTAGTGTTCTACCACTTGAGCCACAGTGCCACTTCTGACTTTTTTTCTTTTTGCTTATGTGGTGCTGAGGAATCGAACCCAGGGCCTCATGCATGCAAGGCAAGCGCTCTACCAATGAGCCACCTTCCCAGCCCTGTCCCAGAATTTCTTTTGCTCAAGGCTAGCATTCTACCACTTGAGCCACAGTGCCATTTCTGGCATTTTCTGTTTATGTGGTGAGGAATCGAACCCAGGGCTTCATGCATGCTAGGCAAGCACTCTATCATTGAGCCACCTTCCCAGCCTACTCTACCACTTTGAGTCACAGCTCCTCTTCTGGTTTTCCGGTGGTTAAGTGGAGATAAAGTTCTCAAGAACTTTCTTGCCTGGGCTGGCTTCGAACCACTATCCTCAGATCTCAGCCTCCTGAGTAGGTAGGATTACAGATGTGAGCCACTGTCACTGGCTGTTATTTGTTTTAAATACTATGGGAGGGGGGTGCGGGGGAGGGTCTGGTCCTGGGGCTTGAACTCCAAGGCCTGGAGACTATCCCTGAGGTTATTTTGCTCAAGGCTAGTGCTCTACCAATTTGAACCACACACTGTTTTTGGCCTTTTCTGTAGTTAATTGGAGTTTGAGTCTCACTGAATTTCCTCTCTGGGCTGGCTTCAAACCATTATCCTTAGATCTCAGCAGGTGTGAGGTTTGCAGGTGTGAGCCACTGGCGCCTGGCCTTTATAAACTTTAAGTAGTTGTATGAAGGCGTTTCAATTCAATATGTCAATTTGTGAATTACAATGAACCTTGACCAATGTCACCTTTTACCTATGGCTATGTAACAAATTGCTCTGATACTTACTGGCTTGAAACAACACATTATTATCTCAGCATTTCTGTGGTTGAGGAACTTAGTTCAGCTGAGTCCTTTACTTTAGGGCTTCTTGCAAGAGCACAATCTGATGATTACACAAGGCCACAGTCCAAATTCAAGTTCACTTGCACTTAATGGCAGCCAGCAGGACTGCTCCTCCCAGCCTGCTAGAATGGAAGTCTCAGTTCTGTATGTATGTGTATAGATGTATGTACGTATGTATATATGTATAGTATGTATGTACGTATGTATATATGTATGTATGTATATATATGTATGTGTATATATATGTATGTATATGTATAGATGTATGTATGTATGTGTATATGTATATGTATGTATGTATGTCCTGAACTCAGGGCCTGAGCACTGTCCCTTAGCTCTTTTGCTCAAAGCTAGCACTCTACCACTTGAGACAGTTTCACTTCTGGCTCCCCCCCCCCCCCTCCTGCTTGTCCTGAGGCTTCAACTCAGGGTCTAGGTGTTGTCCCTGAGCTTTTGTGGGCAAGGCTAATGCTCTATCACTAAAGCTCCACTTCTGGCTTTTTGAAGTTAATTGGAGATAAGAGTCTCATGAACTTTCCTGATCCAGCTGGTTTTGAACCTTGATCCTCAGATCTCAGCCTCCTAAGTAGATAAGATTACAGTGCTTGGCCCACTTCTGGTGTTTTGCTGGTT